TGCTGCCACTGGACTGTATAACTGTGGCTGGCTTCTGCATAGTCACTGTAGTAAGAGGAGATGAGGGCAGATTTGCTGAGGTAAGCGACTTACTCATGATTACCTTGCCCACAACTTCCTACATGGAACAAAATAACCGTAAACAATTTACCAGTTCTAATCTACTTAGACACACCTACAAGGTTTTAAAGGTATTCACTATTCAGAATATGCAATGTAGGGTACCAGAAGATCAGGCCTTACAGGTTCTAATATCACTTATTCTATGTGTTTAAAACATGTCAGCACTCAACTGCAAATTTACAATAATTTCTCAGTTTTCATCACATAAAAATATTTATTGTACTTGCCATATTCCTATTTTTCTTATTAAAATTATTTTTAAATTTGCACATATATTAACAATGTCACCATGTACTGATTAATGGTAGGTGTTGTTCCCACCTCTTAAATCCGAATGGCTACCATATTTGTATTACTACTGATAGGAGTTAAAAAGTAGAATAACGGTAAATTTCCAATGGTATGATGCTCATAATGAGTTTCACAAAGTCAGTAATACTGTATGTGAATATGATAAATGAGCAACTGTGGACTGCTGCCTTGGGGTGGTACTTCAGGTAGGAGGTTGGTCACATATATTATGAACCACCACAAAAATATTGGATTTAAACAGGATAATAATCAAAGGATCTTAGGGTATGGATTTTATTGAGCTCCTTCAGGAAAAGGTCCAGTGGAAGACTTTTGTGAACACAGTGATGAACCTTTGGCTCCCCACCCAAACAGCAGGACATTTCTTGACCAACTACCAGTGGTTAAAGTATGAACTGCACTAGAACAGTCTGTACCATAGAATTAGTGACACCATACTCACTTTTCCTCCATGAGACAGAGTTACACCTCTACTAAACCCAGTGGCTGAACCCTTCTGCACCACAATAACATTAGGCTTCCCTCCAGCCGGTCGTGCAATGCCAGAGTTTTGAGCTGAGATATGCATTGCCTGAATAGGTTTTGGGTTGTTTTTGGTAATGAAGGTGGTAGAAACTGCTGGGCGAATATGGGATGATGGAGGAGAAGGCCCTGAAGATGATGTGGTGTTTACTGTCATTATTCTAGGAGCAGTACCTGTGGATAAGAAAGCTTTCATATTCAGGTGTCATTATCTTCTTCCTTAATGCAGATACAAAACAGTTTGCCAAGCATCTCACGATGTTACTGCTAAGTACTATGGGAGTAAAGAAAGTCAGGATAAAAACTGAAAAGAAATGGCAAGGTGACATTTAACAATTTTTAAAAAAAAATTAAGCATATGAAATGAAGATGTTGAACATGTGAACACTGGTGAGACAAAGTGAAGCCCACTATATCCCAGATGAAGCAATGTGTTATGATCTGTGAACTGATGCACTACAATCAGCACTAGTTCAGATATCCTGGATAAATTCAAGCACTACAATCTGCCCTATCCTCTGATAACCAAGGCAAAAGGGTGCACTACAATCTGCATTAGCCTCCGACATCCTGTGCAAAGCAATGCACTATGACCTACACTAGAGGGGGTAAAAATTGGGGGGGGGGGAAGGAAAAAAAACTGTGATAGCCAAGGACATCTAAGGTGTAGTGATCAAAGGGTTAAATAGACACAATATTCTGTTTTGTCCCCATTTAAATATCCTTGTGTAATCTTTCTTTTTGTAGGTCTTCAAAAATTCCTTTTTGTTAATAGACAATGACTTTCAATATATGATTTTGTTTAATTTTACAACTCAATTACGAATTTCTTTATGAAAATTTATAATCCCAAAAATAGTTTTCTCAGCTAATTTAAGAGGAAATAAAGATCAGGTTAAATTAACAGAAGAGTATGAAGGCTTCAATTACACTTACTTGCTGGCACAGTCCTTGTTACCATAGAAACACTGGCAGTTGTTGCGCTCATTACATAAACAGGTGCTTGGCCACTTGAGCTAAAACTTGGTTTTGGCAGTATTTTTGTAGCACTGCCTACACTTGACATAGGCATTATCTTCATTCCAGCTACAATAAAACAACATTAAGATTAGTATATTAACATGTATTTATTACTTTTGTACTGAAATGCAATTTCCTACAAAAAATGTGAAAGGCAGATTTCACTATACAAACATACCACTACATAAAAAGTTTACATTTTGACATCTGAATGTCAGACAGAATTATGTTATTAATAAAGACGTCTTAACTCACTGGAATCCTGCTTGATGTGTAAACTTGATTTTGAAGAATGCAGAGCTGTCTTCAGCTGCACACCCTGCACACTGGGGAGGTTTGTCAGTGTTTGTGTGACTCCACCAGGTCCTCCTGTCAACTGATTAGGTGTCATAGGGATAACAATGGAACCAGAGCGAGGCCGAGGTTTCGCAGGTAACTGAACAGATTTGGGTCGGATCTTCGGAACACCACCCTGAGATGTGATATATGCAGTTGTTGGAATTCCACCAATAGAAACTGAAACCAAATAAAAGAATGTAACACCAATCTTTCCAAGATACAACTTCACTTCTAATGCATCCAACATCCTACAGAAAACTACAAACACTCCAATGTATTGCAGATACAAATGTGTTACTGTAAAAAGAAACCTACCATTACAAATTTAAATTATTACATATCAAATGCAGAATCAGTCATTAGTTTTCCTTAAATATTCACTAAATCAAAAACTGTTTCAAGTAAACGATATGTCTTAATTAGGTCTACAGCATATCTATCTGATAGCAGAACATAGAGGTTCAACACTACTGATACCAGACCTTCCATCAATAATAATTCCGAGCCAGTTCCACCCACCTCCAAACCTCACATTTCATTTCCCCAATATCTTTCTCAGTATTACCCTAACATCTCCTCAGTCTTCGAAAGTACCTAAAACAAAATAGGTCAATAGGAAAATAAAAAAAATTACAAAATTTCTGATAAAATTACTTTTGGAAAGAATGTTCAGTATTTTTACATTTGTTTTGAAATATGAATATGGCTGTTTCAATATACATGTAAGTTTAAGTTCCTTATTTCGCTTACACAGATGATGATAATTACAAAAAAAATATAATTTGCATTAACCATGTTTTCAATTACCTGGGCCCCTGCTTCCCCCATTTACCACAAATAATTGACACTACTCTACCTTCAAATCCCCTTTCACTTCACCCCTGAATATTCAAGTATTTTACTGAACACTTTGTTTTCAACACTTAGAATTTATGTTCATACCTCAAAGGGATCATGTTTCACAGCCATGCCCACCAAAATACCTTACAAACTAATAACACTGGTTATTGCAAAGTTGGTTTTATTAATTTCTTAACAGTTATTTCTCATCGCATATACCTATACACTTATATACATTTCATTGATCCAGAAGTTAATTAGACTGACTATGGGATATAGAATAAGTCATATAGTACAGAATATATGGATGAATAAATATTGAATATGTTTCACAAACATGAAGGTTTAGCATGTTTCAGAGGTCCTTGCTGCCTCCATCATTGGGGATTATCACACTGATGATTGATGCAGCAGAGACCTCTGAAATGTTGGTAATCTTCTACCAGACTACATAGCAATACATGCCAGCCATAAAAACCTCAAATCCTACCAACTGGAAGTCAGATTAAAACAAATCAACATCAGTATACTTATCAGCTACCTCCCTACTCACAGTAATTGTTGTCTCACATGTAAATGTAGGCCTCTTCCAGGAGACTCAAGTGTTTGTTATCATATGCACTGGGCACCAACATAATTAAGAATAAGTACTTAATACAACTTTGTTCTCACAAGGACATCTATCTAACACCCAAAAATCTGTCTGCATCTACAAAGAGACGAATGACAACTTACCTGTAGTTGCTGTGAGGTTACCACCACTATCTGGATTCGTGGATATAGTCACAATGTTTCCCATTCCACCAGGACCTGGGTGCAAAGGGGCTCCCATAGTAGATGATGTCTGGTTATTTATGATAAGAGACGCACCCCGAGGCTGTTGGCTTACTGTGTTGGATGAGCAAGTTGCTGACACTGTTTTCACAATAGGGACACTCAGCGACCTCTGCAGAATGCTAGGTGATCCAGCCGCTGTTGAACTTGACACTATAATGACCTATATAACAAAAGAAACAGAAGCATATAATATGGTCACTTCATTATTCAATTATTTTATACCAAGTGCAGATTAATTAGCATTTATTGAGCTGTACAACCGTGAACAATGAATCTTAGGTAGTTTTATGCTTATTCAAAATACTATCATGTGGCACTTGTCTGGAAAACTGAAGGAAACTATAAAGAAAACCTCTGGATAGTTGGTGCCCCAACTAAATTTTGAACTGAGAACCTCTCAACAACATTACTGCTCAGTAAACATATTTTCCAGTACATACTAAGGTAGCAATGAGCAAATATTTTTTCCCTGGGGTCCAAAAAGGTCTATTCTGAAGTGACTGTCAAAAACAAATTAGATATTACTCAATTATTTGCACTGGCTGAAAACACCTTACAGATACACCAAAATATATAGGACTAGTAAGTAATTTGGACACAGTATCCAAGTGGCAAATGTTCTAGTTTGGTTATCAGTGTGCTGCTAAACCATTAAAATTTGAGATAATAAAAAATAAAGGTCATATATATCACATGATTAAAAATCATATAAGGCTACAGACACAAAAATGCAGTCAAATCCCAATACAGCACACCGTCGCATTGCTCCCTCAAAAACATCAGAACACACATCAGTATTGTTAAGCATTATAATCAAGTCTGATACAGTTACAAGGTACTTCTTTTTATTTGGTACACACACACTTCTTTGTTTCCATCAGCTACAAAGACAACTCCTTGAAATAATCAGCTTTAAAAATATATATATATATATGCCAACAATTCTGCATTAATAAATAAAAGCAACTCAGGTAAGAAAGGACCTATATTGATTTGGGGACAGAGTTGGGTTGTTACTTGGGGTCAGTGGTGTAAATGGCAACATTCCAAATCCATGCAGTTACAGCAGATGAACCTTCCACAGAAAACTGAATAATAGTATAGGATAAAAAAGAATGGTGAAAGTTCTGTCATAAGATAGTGGATGATGATGATACACAAATAAACACAAGCAAATCCCAAATTTCAGTCCAAGAATTATCCTGTCAAACATTACATTAATGCAAGTAAATAAAATTTGATCACTTTTTATATTGATGTGCTACATCTTTGGCACATATTGGTAATACAGGCAAGCCTAACAGGATTTTTATGTTTTTAAATATAAATTCCTACAGCTCATACTTTTTGTGTTGTGGATGATGATGTGGTAGTGGTAACAGCTGATCTTCCACTTGTGGTAGTGAGAGTTATCTTCACCGGAGTCACTCCCATAGGAAATGCAACTGTTCTTGCGGGGGGTGGCTGCTGCTGTATAGAAATATTAGGCACCTGTAAAGATAAAGCCACAATCAATCTCAAAATGACTGTGAGGAGAAATGAGTTTTATTAGTCCTTTAAGTCTGAATGATTAGTTTAGTGACAGTTGATATAATCTTCAGAATGCTGAAAGATCACAAATCTGGCACACAATATTGTGAAACTTCTGCCTGTTGAAGACTACAGCACTCATATAGGTTATGTGGGCAAAGTAACCAGATATCGACCAGTTATGTTGTGAGCAGAAGGACCTGAAAATGGACAAGAAGCTCTTCAGCCAGACTCAAGGTTCTCACAACTACAAGCATGAAAATCTTATACTGTGTAGTTTGGTAGATACTGATCAAGATTTCAGAGAAAATCTCCTTCATCATTGATCAATGATCCACATCAAACATCTTCAAGAAGCTCTTCTTCCACATCGCACACCCAGTCACTACCAATGGTCTCGTCATCTACAGGTCATGTGGGTGAGACCTCATCCTTTCTAGCATATGACTGCTTTCAAATACTACACAATACTTTTAAAACTCTATAAATATATTTTTCTTTCATTCGAGTAAATTTCACTCACCTAAACAGTTACAGAGTCACCATCACATTGCAAAAATATAATTTACAATCTATGGATGATGAAAGAAGCCTGAACTGAAGTCAAATATTTTTGAAGAAAATATTCAGAATTCTACAAGGAAAATTTTAAATGTTTAGCCTAGCTACCATTTAAATAAATCTATTGAAACAAGTTTAGTAAATCTGCAATTATGGAACCCACAAAAAGAGTACCATACTAAAAGTATATGTATTAGAAATTGTCAGATTTTAACAGAAAAATAAATTATTTAATTACTTTAGGAGGTGGAAGAGTGGGGGATGGAGGCTGTACAATTCCTGATCCTTCGACAGATGATGACCGACGTCTCTTCCTAGATTTCTCGTCTTCTTCATCCTTCTTTTGTTGAATGGATGACATATTGGAAGCTATGGGACTTATGGACTGCTGAGGAATTTTGGCTCCCTCAGACATACTGACTTCACAAGTCTCATCAATGGGCACTACAGACCAAAAATACAAAACACACCACAAAATTTGTTCATGTGACAGCAATTCTTGTATAATGGGCTCAGTCCAAATAATAAACTACCTGTGAGATTCTTGTAATGGTGTACAATCACAAAGTATATCTAAGAATTTATTTTAAGAGGTTGTTTTAAATGTAGTCAGAGTACATAAACTAGATGAATAATGTCTAAAAAACAAAAACATACCTTCCCACAAGTTACATTATTTTTATCTCATGCCCCCCCCCCCAAAAAAAAATGAGGAATATTTTACTGCATACAAATACATTTATTCTTCCAAATCACATTATCTTATCATTAGAAGCTTTTTTGGCATTCTTCCTTTTTGCAAACATTCTTAATGTAGAAATACACACAAATAGCAAGCAAAAATATGATCTTGAAACAGATACATAATCATGTCTAGGTAAGAAGAACAGATAAACTTACAATTCTTCTTTATTGTATTTGCTGGTGGTGGGAGCTTAGCATTTTCAGCTGCAGCAATATTGGCAACATTGTTGGCTAATGCTGTAAAAGCTGTCTGAGGAACTAATCTTGGCATCAATGGAATTAACCTTCGTCCCTCAATTGCCCATTCTGTTGATGTATTTGGACCAGCTATGCTATAAAAAAACAAAATAAAAACATGCACACAAAAAGAATAACCAATGTTAATTACTGTAACAATAAAAGTGCTGGCATCTGTACCAGGTAAAGGTTGGTACTTCCTTCTCTAACTGTAAGCAGAAGGTTACTGGAACATAACAACTAGGTAACTGTCAGATGGCTAATGAAAAATGACCAGCAACTGTACACTATCCTTACCCCTCAGATCACAGGAACCTCAAAATTGAAAATTTTCAATTTCTTTTACAGGCTGAATGATACAAACTAATGTATTTATAACACTCGGTACCACAGACCCACTTGAGTCAGCAAAACCCTTTGCCATTCCAAGTTGTAGCTGTAACTCCTGATACTTCAAAAGAAAGACAGTTAAATCCCAAAAGGAATATTACTAAGTTCATGACTGACACATGCAGTTATCAGCTTTGTTTAGTCTAATACCTCATCAAAATGACTTATACAAAGACTTATTCTTTATGGTATTTAAAATAATAAATGTACTGTGTATGTGTTCTGTTCTGGTAAAAGCCCAATCCACTGACCAATCATATTGTTTACCTCATCTCCCAAAACATTGAGAAATCAGGTATAAATAAACAGAATTCATTCAGTTACAATAAAATAAAAGTAGGTAATATGATGAATTTACTTACTGTTCAGCAATGGTGGCTAATTTTTCATCATTTACAGCTCTTCGTATTTCAGCCCTATGCCTCTCCATTGAAATATTGAGAGTAAAGGCAAGGTCTTGCAGAAGTTTACGCTTATCCTTGCCGAGTTCTCCTTGAGCTCGCAAAGCTGAAACCAAACTGCCGTACGCTTCTAACTCTGTAAAAATGCAAAATGATGTTACCGAATGCATGTACACTTTGGTGATTTCATTGTTGTTTCCTTGTTGAACAATGAATTATCAACTACATATACCATATAATGCTGGATGACAGAATAATTATGAATGACAAATAGGAAAGATGCTAAGAGTAGCACTGACATATTTATAGGTACTGCTTAGATAAACTGGGTGGGGAAGACAATGGAAAAAACAGTCAGAATATGAAATATACAAAGCTACAATCTTACCTTTTGATCCCGCATGCTAAGGATAAAACAAAGATTGATACTGTTTGAGAACAGGGTAATACTCACTCACCTCCAATGTCATACTTACCCAAGCGTCGGAGAATGCGTTTGCATTCATCTCTTGACATATCAAGTAACATTGGCCACATTGTCATTGCTGAAAATAAAATATTTACATAAATTCTTAATAACACGGAAATAAATTATAATACAAAACATCCAGTTCATTATGAATCCAAGCCCCGCATGATGTTTGAGCAAGCTTATTGCATAGAGGAGAAGCTTATTATTCACTGATGCAGCATGGAATGAAAACCACTATAGAACATAATGTGACAGAAACAAAGGAAAGAACAAATAAGTGAAGGAAGAAAAGAATGTGCAGTTACATAATGTTTCATTAATCTCTGAATTCTGTATTAAATACTCTGTTTTCAGAAGCCATGACCATTTTATTTTTGAATATTTCTGAATTAAATTATTTATACCACTTGTGCTGGGTTTTAATTCAGAGTTCTTTATGTGCAATCTGGTGGGTGAAGAGAAGTCTAATATGTATAATGTAACAAAAGATGGTTACAAGATAGAAATCAATATGCTTGCTGGTTAGATACTTGCCTTGCCTGTTGTAACACCCCTCTGACACTTGTTTCTTATATGTAGACTTTCTTAGCAAAGACTTTCCACTTTAAAGTGTTTGCTTAGAATCTGCTACAGTAAGGACTGCAATATTGTCTAGAATAATTTCACGTAATAAGAGATGCAAATAGGTTTTATTAAAGAACTTTTGTGTTCATGACATCCAAACATTGAGCAAAAGCCACAACACTTTCATAATTTCAGCATACGCATTGCCACAACTCCTTACACAATGCCCCAAAATCGCAGAACACAAATTAATGTAATGCATACTGCAGGTATTTATGTAACATAAACTTCAATAAACATTCTACGCATAATGGCAAACATTACCTATACAAGTGTTGTGTTGTCAATTTATCAAGATTCCATAAACATCTGACACTATTATCATTGCTTGCATACTGCTCTTCGATATTGGTTATGTACAGTGGATGATATATGTAGAAGGTATTTGTGAAATACCATTTCAATAAAATTAAAAAATTCTCTTAAGTTTTGGGAACAATGTTTCTGATGAGCCCTGATGATGGAGGTAGGAAGGACCTCCGAAACGCTGGCAAGCTTCGAACAGACTACATGGAGTTATAAATCAGAAGGCAATAATCTTCGTACTCACCGCCGTGAGAACCTCAAATCCTACTGAACAGTAATATTACTTCATGAACTGCAAATAGAAATCGATCAAGTCATTACTTTAAAAAGAAATCCAACCACGCTTCAAACAGATATCTCGCCCACCTTCAATAGTCATATACATCGTGACAAACAGGCATTCATATACAACGTAAACCACATATTATCATATAGTGCATATCACCATCCCACATGCAAGCCATCATTTCGCATGCGAACACGTAAAAATAAAACCTATACACGAATTTAAACAAACGCGACCTAGTGTACATTCACTAAGTTCAAATATCTAGCAGTAAGATAAATCACACTAATGCCATCTTTGTACGATCTGCAGAACACATAATACATACAGGGATCATCGAAACAGCCCGAAAGTGTCAACTGGAAAACGAACGGATTTTGATTACATTTGGCATAGATGTCAATTCAAGCCATCGCGAACAAGTACTCTGCGTACGATAGGTTCTCTATGGTATTTCAATTAACCTCAATAACACGACGAAGTATGGTCGGTATTAGCCTGTTGCATCTGATTAAAGGGCTATCAGCATCAAACTCACAACACCTATCCGCAGCTGTTAGGAGTTACAATGCTGAACACGAACGATGTCACTAGTCACAAAGAACATCGCTCGCTAATCTGTGTTCGGAACGTAACAAATCAGCTGCAAATTTTGTTCTCTCCGGTAATCGCGAAACTAGCACCAAATAGCTCAACTTCCTACGAATTTAAAGGTTATGTTGACTGTAGAGGTTATTTTTTTTCTAGAATGTAAACTCCAATGGCTACATGAATTGTAAATTTATCTTCCGTTTTTGTATTGAAAACTATACAATACTGGAGCTAGGTATATGAAATGTATGGGGATAGATCTTAAAAAGATATACCCCAACAAATATACATATAAATTCTGTTTGCGATAATTGTCAGGTACTGACCCCACATAATCTGAGAAGCAATTGAAAACATCTCAAGAACTTTGGCCGTGAAGTTGGCTACAGTATTATGGAAAGTGTGGGTTCACCTGTTTAGCCCAATGCCACTGACCCCAGCTGTTACCCCTAAACACTAATTTTCCTCTCTATACACATAAAATTTCTCTTCCTCTCACCAGGAACCTGGCAGACTTTCCCCCACTTTTTATGGTCCCAATTAACACAGTCACCAGAACTGTTTTTATCGCCTTTCCTCACCGCACAGTCATTATAAAATTTGTCACATCTTTTTCTCAACATCTTCTCCAATTGGACAGCTTGCTGGAGGTAGTAAGGCCTTGAAAGTCAGTAGATATGTGCCAGACTACAAAGCAACATCCCAAAAGGCAGTGATCTTCAATCTGGCAATTATTGGTCCAGTACTCAAATGAACACAGAAATTTATCCTTGTGCTTCCCTCTTCATTAATTCATAAATGAAGTTTATGATTTCCCATCTCTATTTCCACTGAAACAGTACCATGTTAAATGGTAATGGATCATGTAATAATCAGTCAGTCAAAATTCTGCATTATACCAAGATTTTAGCAATAATTGTCATTTAAAATCTGCACTGGAAATGCCTTGTTCATGAAATCAATTTTGATTTTGTAAGACAAAAGCAGTTATTAAATGACGCCACTATTATAAAATAAATTGACTGAGGACATTTATGTTATAAAACGTACTTTATTCACTCTATTCACAATAAAATACTTCACACATATCAGAGAAGGCCATATCATAATTGGTTGTGGAAATTGCAAGCACTTTCTAATTAATGATGTTACAGCTAATATTTACATACCTGTAAAAAATATTATGCTTACATACCACATGAAAAAGCACAATGAAAAACATATATTATTATAAATTCTATTTCTAGTGTTCTTTAAAGCAAGTATGTTTCACTCCTAGCTCCCAAAAGATCACACATACAGTAATTTCATTACAAACTTTCAGAGAAAACAACATGGAAACTTACATCTTCTTCACTGTACTGGTATATGACATATCTGTCCTACTAGTTCTTACATCGAACAGAATGAAATTGGTAAAGTCAATGACAGATAAGACATCCTGCAGATTAGGGAGTTAAAGTCATGTCCTGTTTGGTTAGAATGATATAAGGAAAATGTACAACTAGAGGCCACATGAACATAAGAATTTAT